AACATGGTCAACAAGACAAAACGACAGCCTACAGAATGGGAAAAGATCTTCACTAAACCCACATCAGACAGAGGGCTGATCTCCAAAATATTCAAAGAACTCAAGAAATTGGACACCAAAAGATCACATAATCCAATAAAAAAAATGGAGTACAGACATAAACAGAGAACTCTCAACAGAGGAATCTAAAATGGCTGAAAGACACTTAAGGAAATGTTCAACATCCTTAGTCATCAGAGAAATGCAAATCAAAACAACTCTGAGATTCCATCTTACAACTGTAAGAATGGCCAAAATCAAAAACACTAATGACAACTTACGCTGGAGAGGTTGTGGGGAAAAGGGAACACTTCTGCACTGCTGGTGGGAATGCAAACTGGTACAGCCCCTTTGGATGTCAGTGTGGCGATTTCTCAGAAAATTAAGAAACAACCTTCCTCAAGACCCAGTAATACCACTTTTGGGTATATATTCAAAGGATGCTCAATTGTGCCACAAGGACATGTGCTCAACCATGTTCATAGCAGCTTTCTTTGTCATAGCCAGAACCTGGAAACAACCTAAATGCCCCTCAATCAAAGAATGGATAAGAAAAATGTGGTACATTTACACAATGGAGTACTACACAGCAGAAAAAAAATGACAGCTAGAATTTTGCAGGCAAATGGATGGAGCTAGAAAACATTATTTTGAGTGAGGTAACCCAGACACAGAAAAACAATCATCACATGTACTCACTCATAAGTGGTTTTTAAACATAAAGCAAAGAAAGCCAGCCTATAAATCACAATCGCAGAGAACTTAGACAACAATGCAGACACTAAGAGAGACTTACATAGATATAATCTACATGGGAAGTAGAAAGTATAAAAAGACAAGATCTCCTGAGTAAATTAGGAGCATGGTGACCTTGGGGGGAGGACTAAAGGGGAGAGGGGAGAGGCAGGGAGGGGAGCAAAGAAAAATGTAGAGCTCAATAAATATCAATAAAAAAAGAATACTTTTGTCCAGTACCCAGCACTCACATGACAGCTCACAACCATCTGTAACTCCAATTCCAAGGGATCTAATGCCCTCTTTTGACTTCTATGGGAACCAGACACAAACATGGTACAGAGACTGATAAGTGGGCAAATCACTTCTATATATAAAAAAATTAATTTTAAAATATAAATTAAAAAGAAGAGCCATGAAGTGGTGGTACACGCCTTTAATCCCAGCACTCAGGAGGCAGAGGCAGGTGGATCTCTGTGAGCTTGAGGCCAGCCTGATCTACAAGAGCTAGTTCCAGGACAGACCCCAAAGCTACAGAAAAATGCTGTCTCAAAAAAAAAATCAATAAATATATAACTAAATAAATTAAAAAGACGATTACCTTGAGTCTGAGGTTAGCTTGAGCAACACAGTGGTTTCTAAGCAGCCTGGGCTACAGGAGAGAGACCCCCATCTCAAAATATAAAAACAAAAAAAAAAACTAAGAGAACTAACCAATAACCAATAGACAAATATTCATGGTCTCTTGGAACCTCCACCTCTGGAAAGCCCCATTCTTATCTCTCTCTCTCTCTCTCTCCCTTTCTCTCTCTGTCTCTCTGTCTCTGTCTCTCTGTATGTGTGTGTGTGTGTGTGTGTCTGTCTGTCTGTCTCTCTCTCAAAATCCTGCCCTCTCAGAGACTCTTCAACAAAGAAAAAAATGCCAAAAAGTCCAGTTCTGCATTCTTGGTGACTATTGCAACTTCCTCCCATGTTGCTGCCAGCAGCCCAAGTCCCCACCTAGACTATTCTTAGTCACAAACCTAGCCTGTGGTGGACATGACATCACCCTATAAACTATATAATCTCCTTGCTTTAGTTTAGGGGTTGTGGGGGTGCTGCTTCTCCAGTCTCAATCTCTGGGACTGGGGAATTTGCTCAGGAGTTTCTATGCTCAAATAAACCTGTTGTTATACTTTTTCAACTCAATTTGATCTGGCTTACTACATTGGCAGAGAAACCTATTATCGGGACAGAAAACCTATTAGTTCATCTCTCACAGAATAAGCAAGTATAGATACATTGTGAGCAAGTCCTGGGTACACACACAGCCAGGGAACCCTGAGGATAGGCTGTATCCTGACTTACTGAAAAAAGAACCATACCAGTTTCTGGTCTTGGATGAAAATTTCTCAGACATTAAGTGTCTTTCTTGGTCTTAGAGACAAAGCCAAAAGCACACATGGGCATGGCATGTATCTGCAAGCAGAAGGCTGGGGTAAGATCACTTGAGTGCAGCACCTCAAGATAAGCCTAGGTAAGAAGGAAGGCAAAGCAAGGGCTTGTATTCATACTTACGGCTTCAGATTTCTTCTGGATCTCAAGGACTGCCTGTTCCATATTGCCTTTGTCTCGCACGGCCTCAAACATTAGGTCGCGCTGGACCTGTGCAGTCTCTTGAACTAAATACAAAACAAGAACAAATTTTTTTCCTAATAAATTTTCCCCAAAATTGCAAAGAGAAGTACCTATATCTTTCCAAATAATATAAAATACTTTGGGTAAAATGCCTGATGCCGAAAGAAAAAATAATAAACAAACAAATGACAAGCTGTGTGGTGGAATTTACTCTATAGACCAGGCTGGCCTCAAACTTACAGAGATTCACCTGCCTCCGCCTCCTGAGTGCTGGGATGAAAGGTGTGCTACCACCTCCTAGTACTTCTTTACTTCTTTTGTCATAGCAATGGGAAGCCTGGCTGGGGCACTGACAAATGAGTTACTCTATCACACTGGACAAGGGAACATCCTTATTTGCCTCTGTTCTCAGCCCTGCTAATCCTTGTGGGGTAACAGCCCTAGCTCTAACATTTCTAAACAGATGGACAGCTGCCCTGTGTGTAGCCCAGGCTGGAGATCAGTAGATAAACAGTACCATGCCTCTATTCAGACAGATGGGAATTACTTTATGAGCCACAGAAAGGCATTGATTTTTGTAAATCATGAGTAATTCATCCCTTGGAACGTGAATCGGATGACTTGAATTAGTTTAAAATAAAAAATAAGCAGAAATGCAAACAAGTACAGATGCACAATTATCTATCTTTCCTAGAAAATTCTAGAGTATTTAGCTAAGAAGAATGTGTTGACTGTTTATAAGGGCGTTCATTTACATGTACAACACTTAATTGGTGGGGAGGGGATTCTACAAACCTCACACTATAACTGACATTGAGACCAAGGCTGATTCACCACAAAACAACTTTCACTGAAACCAAGGCAGTGAGATGAGCAGCAGGTGACTAGAATATTTCTAACTCCTAGGGGAGCATGTGTCTATAGACAGCACAGTGGGCAAGCCACGTGAGACTAAGGAGCTGCTGATTCATCTCAGGCATGAGGTGAGAAGGCTGGCAGAACTACCCTACCCTCAGACAGCAAGATCACTGAGGAGTAGTGCTACACAAAAGCCACCATGGGAATAAAGTGTTGGCACAAGCTAGAGAGATGGCTTCATGGTTAAGTGCACTTCTGTTCTTCCTGAGTACCTGAGTTCGACTCCCAGCACACACACACACACACATATATCATGTCGGTTCAATCTACATTCTAAAGTCTGAAATACCTAAGTGATGTTCTCTAATATATACTTTTATGACTCATTTAGTTGTTCCAGGACAGCCAGGCCTACACAAACTTTTCTCAAAAAAACAAAAAACAAAAACAACAACAACAACAAAAAAAAAACCCTGCAGCTGGGCAGTGGTGGCGCACGTCTTTAATCCCAGCACTCGGGAGGCAGAAGCAGGCGGATCTCTGTGAGTTTGAGGCCAGTCTGGTCTACAAGAGCTAGTTCCAGAACAAGCACCAAAGCTACAGAGAAACCTTGTCTTAAAAAAAAAAAAAAAACTGCACATAAGTTTACAAATTGGGTGTGGTGCATGCCTGTGAGTTCCACACCAGCCTGGTAGTAAGTTCCAAGGAAGCCAGGGCTATGTAGAGAGATATGTCACAAAACAAAATAAAAACAAACAAAAAAAGTGCTGTCACATAGCAGTAACTATAGCACCCTCCCATCCTAAACAAGGAAATCCGGCTAGGGTCAGAAGGGTCACATTCATGGCTCACCAGTGCCCTCTGCTGATAACATCAACCTTGAGACGATAACAAAAAGTTTAAAACAGAACCAAATATAAACATGGGACACTCACATGTCTTGGCTAGAGTTTCCAAAGAATCCAAAATAGATTGGCTTCTCATACTGAAATGTTCCTCAGACTTTTCCACAGATGTCTGCAACTAAGAAATCAAAATTAAGAGAGAAATCACATGGAACTGGAGAAGTGGCTCAGATTGGGAGCAATGTCTGTTCTTTCGGAAGACTAGGGTTTGATTCCCAGCACCCACATGGTGGCTTACAACTGTCTATAAACTCCAATTCCGGGATATCACATCCTTTTTTGCTGGCATTCAAGGGCACTGCACACGTGGTGCACATACATATAGGCAAAACACCCAAATACATGAAATAATCATACATTTTAAAAAAGAAAAAGATGCTGGGCAGTGGTGGCGCACGCCTTTAATCCCAGCACTCGGGAGGCAGAGGCAGGCAGATCTCTGGGAGTTCGAGGCCAGTCTGGTCTACAAGAGCTAGTTCCAGGACAGGCACCAAAGATACAGAGAAACCCTGTCTCAAAAATAAAAAAGGAAGAAAGAAAGAAAGAAAGGAAGGAAGGAAGGAAGGAAGGAAGGAAGGAAGGAAGGAAGGAAGGAAGAGACAAAAGAAAGCACAAACTGTTGTCTTATCTCACTGACCTGGATAACTGTAATTGAATTATAAAATGGCGAACATGCTGCTATTCTACATTTGCTGATGGCACCACAATGATTACCATGCCTAAGATACACGATGCTTTAATTCTCTGAAACTTAGTTCTACCTACCTTATGAATGACTTCTTGAAAATGAGAAATAAAGTTGTACAGCATGTCACTAGAGTTAAGAAAAAAAGGGGAGGAGAGTAAATCTTTGTGCCATGTTGAAATAGCATGTAACATCTGATTATGGCAAGTGTTCATCTAGCATAGCATCAAAACATTGCTTGATCAGAGTTGGAGACTCTACCTGAAAGACATCAAAACTCTAACTGATTTCTAATGCAAATCACATTTTTCTTCCTTCCGTCCTGTTGCTTCTTTATTTTCCTTTTATTTCTATTCTTTTAGAGTTATTTATTCTACGTGGGTACTTTGTCTGCATTATGTGTCTCTGTGCACCATATGCACGCCTGGTGCCCGAGGAAGTCTGAAGAGGCTGCTGGATCTTCTGGAACTGGAGTCAAGGATGTTTGTGAACCACTATGTGGGTGCTGGGAACCAAACCTGAGTCCTCTGCAAGAGCAGCCAGTGTTGAGCCATCTCCCGAGTTCTTCCTGATTTTAGAAGCAGGTATATTTTGTGAGTTCAAGGCCAGCCTGGTCTACATAGAGAGTTCTTGGCCAAAGATGGCTACATAGTGAGACTGTTTCTCAAAACAACAAACAAACAAAATCATGTACATACATAAATAATTTTTAAATTTTTTTATTTTATTTTTCATATTATTTTTAATTTTTCTCTCCATTTCCTAAAAGTTGAACAAATAATTTTTTAATTACAAATTTTATATTCCTTAAATTTTGAAATTTACATTTATCCCATGTGTGCATGTACACATGCATAGCATACATGTGGAACCTAGAGGAAAACTTCAGCCATGGAGATTCTGAGGATTAATGTCAGGTTGTCAGGGTTGTCAGCAAATATTTTTACTCACTGAGCCACCAACTGAACCCTTGCCTTTTTTTTTTTAAACTACATTCATTTAGAGAGAAAGAAAGAGAGTGTGTGTATAATACATTGTGGAGTGGAGGTCAGAAGACAACTTGCGAGAGTCAGTTTTTTCTTTCCACCATATGGAAATCCCACCAGGGATGAAAATCAAGTCATCACATATCATGGCAAGTTCCTTTACTCACATCATACATCATACTTTCAGGGTTTTTTCTAAATATTTGTATTTGTATGTATATGAGTATTTAGTCTGCATGTAGTATTTAGTGCACCATGTATGTGCCCAGTGCCTGTGGAGGTCAGAAGAGAACACTGGATCTCTTGAAACTGGAGTTACAGTTATGGCTGTCATGAGTGCTGAGAACTGAACCTGTGTCCTCTACAAGAGCAGCAAATGCTCTTACCTGCTGAGCCATCTTTCCAGTCTCTCAGTCAGCATTTTTAAACACAGGATTAGATATTAGTTCAGTCTTCCCTGCAATTCCTGGTAATGCTCCTGCCTCAGCCTTCTAAATGCTGAGAATTTGGAAGAAAAATACCATGCTTAACTTCAATTTTTGTTTTTTTTCTTTGTGTTTATTATTTATTTGTGTGTGTATATCTGTATGTGTGGCAGTCAGAGGAAAAATTGTAAGAGTCGGTTCCCTTTCTGCCATGTGGGTATTAGGGAGTGAACTCAGATCATTGTTAGGCCTAGCAGCAAACACCATCTTGTTGGTCCTAGCACAGAATTTTTTTTTTCCAAGATAGGGTTTCTCTGTAGGACAGTCCTGACTGTCCTGGAACTCACTCTGTAGACCAGGCTGGCCTCAAACTCAAAGATCCACCTGCCTATGCCTCCTGAGTGCTGGTGACCCCAAGCATTATACAGTGAGAGTACAGCTGGCAAAATCCCTAGGCTACACCCAATTTGCAAAGCTTTGGAAACCTGCCTTTTGAACAGTTGCTGTCATTTTGTAATCCTTGTGAAGCCATGGTGACCTTCTCTTTCCATAACGTGATTCATCCCAGAATACCTCAGCAGTTTATTAGTTATTGGTCATAACTCTCTCATGTGCTGTTATCCTGGATGACTTTTCATTTGGCCCTATAATCTTGGTATATAGAATATATAGTGGGTGCCTTGAATTCTGGAAAAGGCCACAGAGAAAGGAAGTGTTTCTTACTTAGGCGTCAGCGAGAACAAAGCCGCCAGCTTAGGAAGCTGGAAATGCCAGGCTTGGGATTTTACACAACCATAGTTTCCCCTTTGATCCAGCCACCTTAGATGTTATCTCTAGGTCTAAGAGATTCCATTCCCTTTAATTCAGCAAGCAAGACTCCAATACAAACTCGACTAACTAACCAAACAAATGTAGTCAAGGCACAAACCCTCATTTTCCTATTCTTAGAATTCTGTATTTGGTGTAAAAGTTCCTTCTGTTTGTGTGTTGCTTTCATTGGTTAATAGATAAAGAAACTGTCTTGGCCTAGTTGAACTTAGGCAGGCGGGGAAAACAGAACTGAATTCTGGGAGGAAGAAGGGCAGAGGGAGAGAAGCGATGGATCCTCCACCGCAGATGAATGCAGGTTAGAATCTCTGGTAAGCCACTGCCACGTGGCAATACACTGATTAATGGAGATGGGTTAAACTAATATGTAAGAGTTCGCCAATAAGAAGTTAGAGCTAATGCCAAGAAGTGTTTTAATTAGTACAGTTTCTGTGGTTATTTTGGGGCTAAGCTAGCCGGGTGGCCAGGAAGAACAAGCAGGCCCTCTTCTTCCAACATGTACTGACTTAAAGCCATATACTAATCCTCTCAGTATCTACAGGGGAGTTTCACAGCCAGGTCCCCTCTGAGGCAGTAGTAAAACAACTGGTGCCGACTTTATCCATCCTGTTAGCCTTAGGAAATGCACGCTTGGCACCACTGTTATCACCTATGGAACTGCTAACTATGTCTGTATGGGTATATAAACGGAAAACCTTGTAGGATGGGAAGAACAGCAGGAATATCAAAGGAGGAACATCGAGAGAGCATAGAATGAATAAATGGGACATGACAAAAAAATCCTATGTGAGTTAACTCATTTACCCTGGGATATCTTTAGCCAGTTTTCTCCAGCTATCGTGGTCCTTCTGAATCCTGAGAGGTTCAAGGGAGCTAACTTCCCAACATAAACCTCAATAGGCTTTCTTTTCTTTTTTTAAGACAAGGTCTCATTAGGTAGCCCCCCACTTGCTTGGAACTTTATGTAGACCAGGCTGGTATTAAACATCAGTGATCTGCCTGCCTCTGCTTTCTGAGTGCTGCTATTGAAGACATGCACCCTACATCCAATTAAAATTTTTGTTTTGTTTGTTTTTTCAAGACAGGGTTTCACTATGTAGCTCTGGTTGCCCTGGAACTCACAATGTAAACTAGGCCTGGAACTCACAGAGATCTACCTATCTCTGCTTTCCAAGAGTTGAGGTTAAAGGAATGTGTCATTACATCTGGCTTAATTTTTTTTTTTTCCGAGACAAGGTTTCTCTGTAGCTTTGGAGCCTGTCCTGGAACTAGCTCTTGTAGACCGGTTGGCCTCGAACTCACAAAGATCTGCCTGCTTCTGCCTCCCGAGTGCTGGGATTAAAGACATGCACTACTACTGCCCAGCCTGGCTTAAATTTTTTATTTTTATTTTATGTGTATGAGTGTTTTGCCTCCATATATGTATGTACAATATATGTGTGCTTGGTATCCCCAGAGTCCAAAAGAAGACATCAGATTCTCTGGAATTGAAGTTGTAGGTGGTTGTGAATGACTATGTTGGTACTGGGAATTGAACCTAGATCCTTGGAAAGTGCAGTAATAGCTCCCCAAATAATCCTAAGGGGAATATTCTTTCTTTCTGTTTTAAAGATTTATTTATTATGTACAGTGTTCTGTCTGCATGTATACTTGCAGGCCAGAAGAGGGCACCAGATCTCATTAGAGGTGGTTGTGAGCCACAATGTGGGTGCTGTAAATTGAACTCAGGACCTCTGGAAGAACAGTCAATGCTCTTAACCTCTGAGCCATCTTTCCAGCCTGAAGAATATTTCTTAATCAACTGAATAAAAAACTTCATATGGGGACTGGAGAGATGGTTCAGAAGTTAAGAGCACTGGTTACTCTTTCAGAGGTCCTGAGTTCAATTCCTAGCAACCACATAGTGGCTCACAACCATCTATAATAGAGATTTGGTGCCCTCTTCTGGCATGGATGTATATATAATAAATAAGTAAATCTTTAAAAAAAAACTTCATATAGAATAGCATTTGGGAGGCAGAGCAGGCAGATCTCTGTGAGTTCAAGGTCAATTTGGTCTAGAGCAAGTTCCAGGACAGCCAAGGTTGCACAGAGAAATTCTGTCTTGAAGAAAAAAAAGAAAAGAAATTCTGTCCATGTCCAGCTGTGCATGGTGGCTCATTCCTCTAGTCCCATCATTGGGAGGGTGGAGGAGTGGAAGAGGCAGTTGAATATCTGGCAGTTTCAAGTCACCCTGATCTATATAGTGAGAGCCTATCTCAAAAAAAAGGTCTTAAACTTTGACTTAAGAATTCATATATTATACTGAATTAAGGGTATCATTCAGTAGTAAGAATACTTTCCTAATGTTTGAGAAGCCCTATGTTCAATTACCAGCATTACACAAGACAAAACTAATTTACCACAGACTCATCTAGCCCAGTGGTGGTGGCGGTGCACATGTTTAATCCCAGCACTCAGGAAGCAGAGGCAGGCAGATCTCACATTAGTTGACACGGGATGGCAGTCTAAAAGTGGGCAGCAGCATTCCCCAGGTGTGGGTCCCGGATTGTATAGAGTGGGCGAGGACATACACTTATGCATTCCTCTCAGCTCTCCACTGTGGATGCACTGTTATCAGCTGCTTTAGTTCCTGCTCTCGTGACTTCTCTATGAAGATCATGAGCCAAACTCTTCCTTCTTTAGGTTACTTCTGTTGGGGTATCTTATCTAAGACAGCAACAGAAATGAAACTAATACACACACAAGCAAAGAAAAGCAAGAGCGCTTTGCAGTTTTGTTTTGTTTTTAAGACAAGATTTCTCACCGGGCGGTGAGAGCTAGTTCCAGGACAGGCTCCAAAAGCTACAGAGAAACCCTGTCTTGAAAAACAAAAAACAAAACAAACAAAACAAAACAAAAAGGACAGGATTTCTCTGTGTAACAGCTCTAGCTGTCCAGGAACTCCCTTTGTAGACCAGGCTGGCATTGAACTGCCTCTTCCCCCAGCCAGTGCTGGGATTAAAGACGTGCACCACTGCTGCCAAGCCACTTTTTGTTCTGAGATAAAGTCTGCAGTAGTTCAAACTGACCTGCAAGTAGAACTCACTGTGTTGCCAAAGATGACCACCTTGAACTCCTGACCCTCTTGCTTCTACCTTCTAAAAGCTGACTGGAGTGTACCCCGCACCCCCAATATTTGTTTATTTTGTGGAGATAGAGAATAAACCTACAGACTTGTCGTGCTGGGTAAGTACTACTACCGATGTATAGATGGAGGATGGGCTTCATGGTACCCTTAAAACACAAAACCCAAGCTAATCTTTATCAATGAGCAGGTGCATTATCCTAAATAATGATGACCTGACCAGAGACAAAAAAGGAAAGATTCTCCTCATTGGTTGAGACATCCAGTTTTTTTTGCTCCCAAACACTGGAGCTCCTAGGTCAAACTTCAAAACTTAATGAGCAGCCATCTTTCCCCTTCCTTCTATGGCTCTCTGATTCATACTTATATTACTGCTTCTCTGGCTCTCAAGCTTACACATGGGCAGAGTTATAGGACTTTCATACTATATCAGATTCTGCATCTTTCTCTGTCATTGATCCCCCACTGTGTGTGTATGTAATATTGAATCTGTTTCCTATGCACAACCCTGACTAATACATTCTATTATACCGAAATTGAATTATTTGATGATTGATAGTACATTTGTTTCCTTCAGAAAACATAAGCTTTTCATCCTTTTAAAATGTGTGTACCTGTCACATTTGTCTGTTGCCCTTCGTTTTTTCTCCTCAAACTGTTTCAGGAGTCCTTTTGATTTTCCAACTGGCAAAGGAAGAGAAAATAAATCTTCATCCTTTGTATCACCTCCAAACAACTGGGGCTTTGTCTGGTATTTTGTGAAAATACTAGGTTCATTCTGTTAAATGGAAAAAAAATCAACATCAAATTCCATCCACTATTTTCTGTACAATGCAGAATTTAATGTATTTAAGTACCAAGCATATGGTTGAAGATACAGCATGTAGCTTCTGCATTATTTGTACCAACCAGGAAATTATAATAAACAGCTTTCTAAGTTAATACAGTTTCAGCTTTATCAATGCAGAAATATTAAAAATTCAGCTAAAATTGTTGAAAACAAAATGAATACATTTATAGGAAACAACAAAAAAATCATTTACTCACTCTCTGAGATGTGATATTAAAGCTTCACATCAATACATTTAACTCAAATCACTATTTTTTTTTCTGTTGAACTCAAAACCTGTTGATAACTTTTACAAGGCCTAGGAAGTATACAGGCTGAATTATGAAGAGTCATTTCCTGCATTTCTTAGAAAAATCATATTCTAAACATTCAGAAAGTGCATTTTTTTCCATCATATCACTAGCATCAGTTTTTTTTTTTTTTTTTTTGCTTTTTTGTTGTTGGGTTTTGGTTTGGTTTTATTTCTTTTTTTAAAATATTTATTCATTTTTATTATGTATACAATATTCTGTCTACATGTATGCCCGAAGGCCAGAAGAGGGCACCAGACCTCATTACAGATGGTTGTGAGCCACCATGTGGTTGCTGGGAATTGAACTCAGGACCTTTGGAAGAGCAGGCAATGCTCTTAACCGCTGAGCCATCTCTCCAGCCCGGTTTGGTTTTATTTCTTTTCTTTTTTCTTTTATGGTTATCTGAGACAGGGTTTCTCTGTGAATCTCTGGCTGTACTGGAACTCACCATGTAGACCAGGCTGGCCTCAAACTCACAGAGAGTCACCTGCCTCTGCCTCCCTGAGTGCTAGGATTAAAGGTGTGTGCTACCACTGCCTGGCTTTTTTTTAAAATTTATTTTATTTTTACTTTATGTGCATAAGTATTTTTGCCATGGGTGCAGGTCCCCTGGAACTGGAATTACAGACAGTTAGAAGCTGCCAGGGAATTGAACCTGGGACTTGTGGAAGAGCATCCAGTACTCTTAACTGCTGAGCCATCTCTTCAGTCCCTGGTCTTGACTTTTTGATACAGGGGTTCACTGTATCACACCAAGGGGTTCCTTGGCTGTCCTGGAACTTGCTCTGTAGACCAGCTAGCCTTCAACTCACAGAGATCTGCCTCCCAAGTGCTGGGATTGAAGGAGAGAGCCACCATTGCCCAGTTTAGCATCAATTTTTGTACTGAGATCATACATATTAATGCTTCACTAACCTAAAGCACTGAGCTAGCCTTATTCACTGCATCATACGATATAGGTAAGTCTAAATATAAAATTAAATATAATTCAAAACCAAAAAAAAAGAGAGAGAGAGCAGGGATGATGGTACATGACTTGAATCACGGTACTCAGAAAGCAGAGGCAGGAGGATGGCCTTTGAAGGAGGCAGACAAAAGCAACTTGGTCTAGGTACTGTCATTTTGACTTCACACTTGATTTTACCTGTAAGGTGAAACAAAGCTCAGGTTCCCACGCCCAAGGGGAGCTGAGAACTTTCCAATGGCTGATCAACTTCCTCCCTAAACAATGGAAATAGCTTGTCCCCCAACCAAGCTCTTTAAAATATTATGGCTGTTCCTAACAATAGAAAAAACAAATGAATCTCATTGGTTGGACTAAAAAGTTTCCATTTTGTGTTCGTTGACAGTGATGGAACACAGAAGGGAAGTCCCTAATCTTTGACTCCTGATTGGTGAAAATTGTTTCTGTAACTTGGCAACAAATGTTTGTAATTCTTGTACTTATAAATCCTGGCAGGGAAACAGACCCATCAGTGACCCCGATGACCCTGATTATGTGGTGATTTTATTAAAGTCTTTGGAACCCATAAGTGTTGTCTCTCTCTTTCCTCATGGTGCACAACAGACTGGGTAGAATAGCCTTGAATTTTAAACTAGCCTTGGCTACACAATGAGTTCTAGGCCAATCTGGACTACAGAGTAAAATTCTGTCCAAAAAAAAAAAAAAAAAAAAAGCAAAACAGCAGCAACAAAATCCCAGATTCAAAAAGACAAATATCTCACATTCTTTTTCACATGCAGATCTCAGGAAGTTTTGCTGTTTTTTGGTTTTTTTTGTTTTTTTTCTTGAGATAGGATTTGTGTAGCCTTGGCTGTCCTGGAACTCCCTTCACCAAGCTGGCCTTGAACTCACAGAGATCCACCTCCTTTGCCTCCCAGGAGCTGGGATTAAAGGCGTGTGCCACCCCTGCCCAGCCAGATTCCAATTTTTTCAAAAATTTTATTTATTTATTATGCATACAACATTCTGCCTCCATGTATGCCCGCAGGCCAGAAGAGGGCGCCAGATCTCATTACAGATGGTTGTGAGCCACCATGTGGTTGCTGGAAATTGAACTCAGGACCTCTGGAAGAGCAGCCAGTGCTCTTAAGCACTGCTCCATCTCTCCAGCCCCCAGACCCCAGTTTTTAATGCTCATCTCTATGTATGTGTGGACGTGAGTGTGGGTATAATCTATGAAACTAGGAGGGAAGAAGAATGTAGAAGGAGTGGAGAACAGCAGAAGAAATGTGACAAGAAAACGGGAAAAGTGCAAAGGGTGTAGATGTCTAAGACGGCTAGAGGATGCAGAAGGGGGGAAGGGAGGGAGACTCAACAAATTTTGCTTGATGATGCCATAAGGACACATAATACCCTGTATGCTAAGTAGATATTTTTTAGTTTTATTTTTGAGAATTAATGTATATTTATGTATGTATAAATAATTGTGATTATATTCATTCTTTTCTGTTTGTTTTTGTTATTTCAAGATAGGGTTTTTTTTTGTGTAACTCAACCCCTGCAAATAAACAAATAAATGTAACTACTTTTCATAAAAATATAACAAAGTAAGTAGTGGTGCAAGCCTGTAGTTCTAGAAGGTTCAGAAGTTCAAAGTCACACTTAGAGGATGGCTCAGCTGATAAAGATGTTTGCCACCAAGCCTGAAAAACTGTGCTCCATCCCTGTAATCTACACAGTAGGACAAAACCATCTCTACCAAAGGTATCCTCTGTGCCCCCAAACACAATAAATAATAAATAAATACAGAAGTGTAAAACTAATAATAATAAAAAAGTTCACGGTCATCTTTAGCTACACAGTTAGTGTGACTATTCAGTGAGTCTGAGGCCAGCCAGGACAATTATGAGACTAGCTCAGAAGTGAAGACACAATAAGAAGTCATAATGGGCCATAAAACAGCACAGGAAGGCAGTGGGAAACTTGCTGGGAAGAAGGGATTCCGTGGGAAGGAGAAGCAGATGAGAGAAGATAATGGGAATCAAAGTACATTATACATATATGAAACTGTTAAAGAACAAATGTTTTCATTTTTATTTCTTTTTATGATGTTTTGTCTGCATATTTATGTCTGTGTTAGAGTGTCAGATACTCTGGAACTGGAGTTACAGAAAGTTGTGAGCTATCATGTGGGTGCTGGGATTGAACCTGGGTCCTCTGGAAGAGCAGCCAATGGTCTTAACTGCTAGGCCCTATCTCCAGTCTCAAGAATAAATGTTTTGAAAATTAGAGAGCTGTGGCTATAACTCAGTGGTAAAACACTTGCTCTGCTAGGCTCTGGGTTCCACAAACAACACTGAAAAAATAAAATTTGTCACTTTATTTCTTTAAGTCAAAGGGCTTATTTTTACTTATTCAATCATGTGTGTGTTTGTGTGTCTATGAGTGTGTCATGTGTATGCCATGGCACAAGTGTGGAGGTCAGAGGACAACCTCAGGTATGGGAGAAAGAGTTGTTCTTTTTGATCTTTTTCTTTCTTTCTTTTGAGACAGAGTTTGTAGCACAAATAATAAAAAGCCAGAGACAGATATTGAGCTTCAACCTGAAAATCAGAAAAGCAAAGCAGCCAAGTCAGTAGAGAAGTCCTACCTCTACCAAGGCAGGGCGACCACAGCCTAAGCAGCCTTTCTCCTCCACATGGTGGCTCATAAGCATCTGTAATGAGGTCTGGTGCTCTCTTCTGGCCTTCAGGCATACACGCAGACAGAATATTGTATGCATAATAAATAAATATTTTTAAAATAAATATTATTTATTTATTTATTATGTATACAATACATAATACAACCATGTGGTTGCTGGGAATTGAACTCAGGACCTTGGGAAGAGCAGGCAATGCTCTTAACCGCTGAGCCATCTCTCCAGCCCTAAATAAATATTTTTTTAAAAAAAGCACCAAGCATGATGGTACATGCCTTGAATCCCAGCATTCTCAAGCAAGAGGAAGATGGATCTCTGCAAATTCATGGCCAACCTGGTTTACATAGTGAGTTCCAGGCCAGCTAAGGCTACATACATAGTGAGACTTTGTCTAAGAAAACAAACAAATTCATCTGACAAAAGCCATTGTTTCTTATGAATTTTCATAATAGTAAATGATTAGGTTAGGAAATATTGTATGACTTTAAGACAATTCTGAAGCCATTTCTGACCATTCCAAACCCTCTCAGCCTCCGTGCCTTAGTGTTTCCCCTCCTCCCCTGGGAACCAAGGACCTAACAGCTACACATGCACGTACTCAGTTCCTGAACAATTACCCATACACGTATGTTTTGACATACGAGGTCAAAATGACCTCTTACCTTATCTGATTTGACAATAGCTCTCCAGCCAATTATTGGTATTAGCCCTTTTCGAATAAGCCAATCAAAATGGTCAAAGAACAACCCCTTTGTTTCTATGGCCTTCTCCTTTAAAAGTAGACTGTACCAGCTATTCGAGGTCTCTCGGCTTCCCAAATGCTGAGGGACCCTGTCATGACAGAATTAATAAAATCCTCATGCTTTTGCATCGGCTGTGGTATATGAGGTGGTCTCTAGGGGCAACTCCTTCTCGGTGTTTGGATGCTAGAGTCCAACAATATGAATATTTGTTCCTCCCAAAAACAAATGATCAAGGGATTGACACTACTCTATGTTGTTTTGGCAATAAAAGAAACTGTACATGTAAGTGATTTTTGGTTGTTTTGGTTTTTTTCAAGACAAGGTTTCCCTATGTAGATAGAAAGCCTGGCTATCCTGGAACTTTGTAGACCAGGCAAACCTTGAACTCAGAGATCTACCTGCCTCTGACTCCCTTACTGCTGGGATTAAAGGTGTTTGCCACCACTGCCTGGCCATGTAAGTGTTTTAGATTTTAGACTTTTAGGTTAAATAAGTAAGTCATGAATCAGCTGAGAATGGTGGTGGATGCCTTTAATCCCAATACTCAGGAGGAGGCAGGCAGATCTCTAAATTCAAGACTAGCCTGGTCTATATAAGGAATTCCAGGACAGCCAAGGCTACAGAGTGAGACTCTGACTCAAAAACAAAACAAAACAAAACAGCATCAATCAAGCACTAATCCATTTAGGATAGTAATCTTCAGGGTACAATTCTAAAGCATGTTCATATTCCAGCAGAATAATTCTCTTTTTAGCTTATCTCCATTAAGAACTATAAAATATGTGCAGAAAAACTTCAGAAATCAGAGCTTGAGTGGTGGCTTATTCCTATAACTTGAAGAGCCTGGAGGCTGAAACAGGAGGGTGGAGTTTAGGCTGGCATACACAGCAAGGTTCTGTCTCAAAAAGAAAAATCTAACTATTGGAAACAAGACTCACATCTACAGAGTTCTGTTGTGTCTGTTTTGGATGTCTTGAGTAGGCACCAGTATCCAAGGATGTGGACAGAATTTCTGAATTTTCTGAACAAAACTGAGACCCAAAGAGGAACTGGGAATCACTGAGAGAAGAACAATCAGTCTGATTACTACTCCAGTTAGATGGTTTAGTGATCCTGAAACAAAGCAAGAAAACATTAAGTTAACATCCTGAACGAATGACATTATAACTCACAGCTACTATTTCAGAAAATTCTGGAGAGCGCATTTTTGCAGCAGCTGGAAGCAAGAAGCTAGGTTTATGTAAAGACACATGGATAAATTTCAAATATAGGAACTGGGGAGATGGCTTGGAGGTTAAGAGCACTGGCTGTTGTTCTTCCAGAAGTCCTGAGTTCAATACCCAGCAACCACATGGTGGCTCACCGCCATCTGTAATGAGATCTGGTGCCCTTTTCTGGCCTGCAGGCACACACTCAGGCAGAACACTGTATACATAATAAGTAAAGAAACCTTTAAAAATTTTTCAAAAATAATTATTTTTATTTTTGTTTTTCAAGAGAAAGTTTCTCAGTGTGGCCTTGGCTGTGGAACTTGCTCTGTAGGCCAGGCTGACCTCTGGCACTACCACCTGGTTTCAAAAATAATTTTGTTGTTGTTTTTTTGTTTGTTGTTTTCTCTGTGTAGTCCTGGCCAACAGGGAACTTGCTCTGTAGACCAGGCTGGCCTCAAACTCACACAGATCTACCTGCTTCTGCTTCCCAAGTGCTGGAACTAAAGGTGTGTACCATCACGCCCAGGCAAAAATAATTTTGAGTACAAAAAAGTAAGGGAGGGCACTGGAGAGATGGCTCAGTGGTTAAGAGCATTGCCTGCTCTTCCAGAGGTCCTGAGTTCAATTCCCAGCAACCACATGGTGGCTCACAACCATCTGTAATGAGGTCTGGTGCCCTCTTCTGGTCTGCAGGCAGACACACAGACAGAATACTGTATACATAATAAATAAATATAAAAAAAAGTAAGGGAAAGATTGCTCAACAGGTAGAGGCACTTGCCAAACACTCCTGGTAACCTGACAACCTGTAATTCATGAAGGTAGGAGAACCAGCTCCTCTGAATTTCACACATATACCATAGCATGTGTGACCCCCCCCCCACACAAAGAATAAATTTAAAAAGTAGAACTTTACTTAAAGTAAACTTTATTACTTATTTTTATGAGTTTTTAGCCTACATAAAACATATTCGTGACTGAACATTTAGAAAATGTAGGAGAGGGAACAGGACTGGAGAGAGAAGGAGCCATAACAATACAAACACAAGAGCCTGGACTGGGTACGGCTTTAACCTTGCTACATGCCTTTAATCCCAGCAACTTAGAAGGCAGAGGTAGGCAGATCTTTGTGAGTTCAAGGAGGAACTGGTCTACACAGTGAGCTAAAGAATTGCCAGGGCTATGTGGAGAGACCCTTCCTCAAAAACAAAACAAAACAACAACAAAAAAAACAGAACAAAAAAAAAAAAACACCCACAAAGCTTGGCATGGTAATGCCTTATGATTCCTGCTGTAATGTTGGCACTTAGGACACGGGAGCAGGAATATAAGGCGTTCAAAGCCAGCCTGTAATATGGTTTATTTTTTTTTTTTTGAGACAGGGTTTCTCTGTAGCTTTGGAGCCTGTCCTGGAACTAGCTCTTGTAGACCAGACTGGCCTCAAACTCACAGAGATCCACCTGTCTCTGCCTCCGGAGTGCTGGGATGCGCCACCACTGCCCAGCCAGCCTGCGCTATGTTAACCTTAACTCAAAAAACAAGAAACCAAGCCAGGCATGGTGGTGCAAGCCTTTTATTCCAGCACTAGGGAGGCAGAGGTAGGTTAGCCTGGTCTACAAACAAGTTCCAGGACAGTCAGTGTTGCTACAAAGAGAAACTCTATCTGGGGGTCGGGGGAGGGGAAACAAAACAAAATAAAAGCCCAAAGCAAGAAATGTGCCAGGTGGTGGTTACACATGCCTTTAATCCCAGCACTTGGGAGGCAGAGGCAGGTGAATCTCTAGGAGTTCGAAGACAGCCTGTCCTATAGAGAGACTTTCAAGACAGCCAGGACAGTACAGAGAAACCCTGTCTTGAAACACAAAACAAACAAACAAGAAATGGGGCCAGCAAGATGGATCAGTGGGTAAAAGTTCTTGCCCCCAAGTTCAATCCCTGAAGCTCACATGGTAAGAGGAAAGATCCAACACTGTCCACATATTTTCTGGTCTATATATGTGTGTATGTGTGTGTGTACACACATACACACATACACACATAAACACAAACATACACACACACACACACACACAATAAATAAATGTAGAGGGCTGGAGAGAAGGCTCAGAGGTTAGGAGCATTGCCTGCTCTTCCAAAGGTCCTGAGTTCATTTCCCAGCAACCACATGGTGGCTCACAACCATCTGTGGTGGGGGTGCCCTCTTCTGGCATGCAGGCATACACACATATAGGATATTGCATACATAATAAATAAATATTAAAATAAATAAATGTAGAAATTTTTAACTACAAAATAAGCCTTACTAGACTTAATATATCTTTTTTTTCTTTTTTCTTTTTTTTTTTTTTTTTTTTTGGTTTTTCAAGACAGGGTTTCTCTGTATAGCTCTGGCTGTACTGGAACTCAAGAGATTCACCTGCCTCTGCCTCCCAAATATTAAGATTAGTGTCGGATTAATGTCTACCACCACCCACACCAGCATCGGATTGTATCTTAAAACAATGATAGAAATGATAGAATTAAACAAAGCTAAGTTTTCTCTCTCTGTATAAACAGTAAGCCCTTTTTGAGAAATAAAAAGAATAGGCTTTAAAATAATATTTACTTAATTTTATGTATGAGTGTTTTGCCTGCATGTACGTATATATACCATGTACCATGTGTTTAGTGCCAAAGGAGTTAAGGGTGTCAGATTTCTTGGAACTGGAGTTACAGATGGTTGTAAACCACCATGTGGGTTCTGGGAACCGAACCTGGGGCCTCTGCAAAAGCTTTTAACCAGAGCTGTCATTCCAACCCCTAGATTTTTCTTTTCTTTTTTAAAAATCAAATTGGAAAATCTCCTAGGTAAAATGTTAGAAAGGAAAAAAAAAACTATCCAGTGATGAAAGCACACAAAGAACAATTTAAATTCCTTTCCGGAGATTTTCCCCAATTTAGAAATGGTAGGCTTATTTCAGCCTGGTGGACACTAGTCTGAAACCTCAGTGGATAATACATACGGCTATGCACAGTATCTTATTGGGTCTTGCTGGTAGCTGAACTGGCTCTTCTCTTCAGAGCAGTTACAAGTTATATTGCAGAAACAAACAGAAATCTGAATACCACTGATTTTATTTCTTCCTATTCCAAAAGCATTGCTTAATTCAGGTCACTTTCAAGATTTGGGGCTCTATATCTGATTCTCACAGATCCAGTCCCAAGACTGAACGTTGCATACAGAGCTGATAAACACAGCTACATTGATACTACCTATGGATGTGTCTGCGTAGATGTTAAAATGTATATTCATGTGGGTGCAAGTATATGTATGGGTGTGTACATATGCATGTGTGTGTGTTCATGGGCATGTGTGAACAGCATGTGTGAACATATAGAAATCAGAGGACAACACTGGGTGCTTGTCCTTAAGTGCCTTCCATCTTTTGTTGGAGACAGGATCTCTCATTGGAACTTGTGATGTGGGAGTCCCCTCTGTGTGCTGTGATTACCATTAGTGAAAAAAGAAACTGCTTTGGACCTATACCAAGGCAGGCAGAACTTAGGTAGGCAGGGAAAGCTAGGCTGAATGCTGGGAGAAAGAAGGGCAGCCAGGAACCAACAAGTGGCCTCCTTCCAATAAACTTGGCCGTATAAGCCAAGCTGGCTAACCTGTGAGCTCCCAGAGCTGTCTGTATCTCCCATCTCATCATGGATGGGATATCAGGCACATGGCACTGTGCCCAACTTTTTACATGGGTCTGGGGATTCAAACTCAAGTCTTCACACTTGATAAGCAAACACTTTACCCTCGGCTGTCTCCCCTACACTGACATCACTTTTTTAATCATAAAATAAGTGGGAGAAAAAAGAGCATAAAAAGGAATAGCGGTATCAGAGAAGAAAAGGAGAGGCAATATGGATACCTCTAGCACTATTCAACAGTCACTCCACCTAAAGGAATGAGATTTTCTAGGACATCAATAAAACCACAGGACTTAAATGTCAAAGAAAATAACTGGGAAACTTACCCAGAGCCTGAGGGGATACTGAGCATCTCCTTGATATTCCAGACATTAAAATTCATTTTAATACTTCTATTAGAGAACGGAGAAATATTTAGAACATTAACACATCATAACATTTCCAAATGTACTAATTACATGTAAGAACATTTCAGCAGTTCTAATTCAATTGGTTAAAAATTCCACTACTTAATGTGCCCGAAATAAAACATTCTCTGCTACCAAACTGCATGGTGAGCCAGATGTGGTGGTTACACTGTTTGTTTGTTTATTTGTTTTTCTTTCTTTTTTTTTTTTTGCCTGTCCTGGAACTAGCTCTTATGGACCAGGCTGGCCTTGAACTCACAGAGATCTACCTGTCTCTGCTAGGATTAAAAGCATGTGCCACCCCTGCCCGGCAGTTACACAGTTGTAATCTTAACTTCAAGAGGTGGAAGCAGGAAGATCGGGACAAGTTTAATGGCCAACCTAAGCTTCATAAGGAGTCTGGTAGAGCTCTATAATTTTGAAGCCAGCCTTGTCTATATAGTGAATTCCAGGTTAACTAGAGCTACATAGTGCTGCTACCCTGTGATAGGGGCTACACAGAAGCTCAGTGGTTAAGAGCACTGGATGCTTTTCCAAAGGATCCAGGTTTGATTCTTAGCACCTATATGGCTGACAGATAACAATCACCTGTAACGAGTCACAAGGGACCCAACACCCTCTTCTGGCCTCCTTGGGCACTGTATACATGTGATGTACAGACAAACATGCAGGCAAAACATCCATGCAAATAAATAAAATTGGTTTCGAAAAACCCTTGACAATGCCAATCATAGTGGTGCACACCCATAATTCCAGCACTAGAGAAACAGAGGCAGAGGACAGAGCATTCAAGGCCACCATGAACTACATATCTAGAGGCTGTCTCAAAAACAGGGAGAGGGTATATTCTTATCATTCTCTTGGCTATGTCTAAGGACCACATGGGCTAATATCCTCAGCCTCAGCTTGTCCTTTGTGCTTTTACTTGTTTCCTGTTCGCTAAATGAGCTTCTAACTTTCCAGAAAACAAAGATCCTATCAGCCAAAGCTCTCTCGGTGATGATTCAACCAGACAAGAATAATGACGAGACAAGTCATTCTAATAAGCCTATCCATCAAGGTAAACGGCACCTTAAATGTACACATTTGAAACTTTCAAGTGCAGGGTTCCCTCTCCATTTATCAACCCATCTTTAGTAAAGAAAGCATGAAAGAATTAAGGTGGAGCCAGTATTTCTACAAGTAAAGCTCTGGATGAGTAAAGGAAGAATGTGTGTGACAAGAAGGTGGCCCTGGGATTCAGAGCGACTCCTCCTTTTGACCCCATCATAAACTCTGAGAGTTCCCCCTGACAGGGTTTCTCTGTGTAGTCTTGGTTGTCCTAGAACTCTGCCTGCCTCTGTCTCCCAAGTGCTGGAACTAAAGGCTTGCACCACCACTGCTTGGCTTCCAGCTTAATTTAGGGGTACAGGTGGGGGACAAAGAGCAAGAGATAGACCTGGAACTCCCTAATACCTCAGGCTGTTCTAGAATTTGCCATTCTCCTGTTCCATCTCTGAGAGTCTGAGGCCCTGGAGTGAAACCTTCCAGCATTCCCTCCACACCCTATGTCCTATATCCTCTACACGCCATCACACACCCTTCCTATAATGCAGAAAAAGCAAGTCTCTTCCTCAGACTTCTGGTCCCTTCCACATAATTGCCAGGAGGAATTGTTAACTCTCATATTGTCTGGTCAAGAAGCTCTCTCCAAGGGCTAAAGAGATAGTTTAATGGGAAAAGGTGTTTGCTGCCAACTCTGACAACAAGTTCGATCCCCAAGACCCACATAAGGGAAAGCGAGATCTAATTCCTGAAAGATATTCTCTGACCTTCACACGACTCCCTCCCAAGAAGTAAATATAATAATACAAAATGTTTTGAGCGGCCCTCCAAACTCCTGGACGGCCATTCCTATGTGTTTCCCGGATTAGTTCCTTTTTTATTTTTTTTTTAAGTTTTGTTCGTAACGATTAAAGTTTTGTTTGTTTGGTTTGTTCCTAACAATAAGGCAAATTCCAGTTGGCGTCTCTGATTCCCCAGTCACTGACTTCCAGGTTGACGCTGGGCGCGTCTCTGTCTGGAAGCCTCGGCCCAGTCAGAGTCTGAGGAGAGCCTCAGGCCCTGAGGAAAGGCAGTCACTCTGCCTGCGGGGTCACCAAGCCCCAGTCTGTTCCCCATCTCTTCTCTCCCTAGTCCTCAACGCCCTCTCCTCGCCCAGACCCTCGTGTCCTCACCTCCAGTGCCCGCCCGCAACACGCGCTGCACCTCCAGGCTTCGCTGACGCGCTGGAAATCCCGCCGAGGCGAGGTCCCGCCCCCCCCGGGAGCACCCACCAATGAAAATGCCGCTCCTTGGCTCCGCCCCGCTGCCGCACGAGGCCAAAGGGTTTTAACGTTTTTAACGGTTTTAACGGTCCCAACAGTTTTACCGTTAGTCATGATCCAGCACCTGTCACTTCAGGGCACGAAGCGCCATCAGCCACTGCCAGCTCACAGACCCTAGGCTCTGCACGAGTCCTCGGCCCCACCCTTCTTCTCACCCGAAGAATAGAGGCCTGCAGTCAGGAGAGATGGCTCAGCGGTTAGGAGCACTGACTGCTCATCTAGAGTCATCCAGAGGACCAGGGTTCAATTCCCAGCGCCCACATGGTGACTCACAACCATCTGTAATAAGATCTGGTGCCCTCTTCTGGCCTGCAGGCATACATGGCCTGCATTCATAATAAATAAATAAATCTTTTTGTTATTTTTCGAGACAGGGTCTCTGTAGCTTTGGAACCGGCACTGGAACTCGCTCCCAGAGAGACAAAGGACTGTCCCTGGATGGACCTTGATGGCTAGCTTTAGGAATGTAATCTAATGTATTTTTAGTTTTGTTTTGTTTTTTTATTTTTTTCGAGACAGGGTTTCTTTGTAGCTTTGGATCCTGTCCTGGAATTAGCTCTTGTAGACCAGGTTGGCCTCGAAGTCACAGAGATCCGCCTACCTCTGCCTCCCGAGTGCTGGGATTAAAAGTGTGCCGCCACTGCCCTGTACACTGCATATACAGCTTTATGTGGGAAGAGGGCATTAGATTCCATTGTATATCATTGTGAGTCACTGAGCCCGGCTTGTTTTGGTTTGTTTTTTTTTTTTTTCACCAAGGCAGATGGAATAGGGGAGAAGGCCAAGGCCTGCCAGAGTCACATGTTCCAATGGGCTAGTGGGATACAATAGTAAACTTGAGGGCCAGCAAGATGGCTGAGCAGGTTAAGACCCTTGCCACTAAGACCAAGGACCTGGGTTCAATCCTCAGGACCCACAAGGTGAGAACTGAGTGCTTTTTTTTTTCTTTGATTTTCAAAACAGGGTTTCTCTGTGTAGCCCTGGATGTCCTGGAACTAGTTCATGTAGACCAGGTTGGCCTCAAACTCACAGAAATCCACCTGCCTCTGCCTCCCAAGTGCTGGGATCAAAGGTGTGCATCACCATTACCTGGCTGTGAGACCATATTAAAACAACAGCCTGGCCAGGTCACCCAGCACGCCTTTAATTGCAGCACTTGGGAGGCAGAGGCAGGCAGATCTCTGTGAGTTTGAGGCCAGCTTGATCTAAAAGAACTGGTGCCAGGACAGGCTCCAAAGCTACAGAGAAACCCTGCCTCGAAAAACCAAAAGCCTGGTCTACAGAGTGAGTTCCAGGAAGACCCCCAAAGCTACAGAGAAACCCTGTCCTGAAAAACAAAACTAAACAAACAAACAAAATAACAAAACAAAAACAAAAGAAACCCTGTCTCAAAAAACACAACGAAAGTAAACCCAAGTAACAAAAACGATGAAATAATGATTGCAACAGTGCCCATAAACTTCAAAGTAATTATGATAAGTAAAATTCAGACACAAAAGAACACATATTACATATTTCTATTTATATGAAATCTTAAAAATGCAGATGTTTCTATAGTGACAAAATGGTGCAGCCAACTGCAGTGTGCACTTTCAATCCCAGCACTTGGGGTGGAGGCGAGACATTCAGAAGTTCAAGGTCTTTTTCATGACAGAGCAAATTTGGGGTCAGCCTGGGATACCTGAGACCTTGTCTCAAATGAAGTAAGGAGCAGGAAGTCTGGCATGGATGCACAAGCCTGAAATCCCAGCACTTGAGTAGGTAGGAAGGTCAGTGCAAGTTCAAAGCCATCCAGGACCTCATAGTATGATTCCATCTCAAAACGCAAGCAAAACTCACAACCTAGTTGTAGCATATGTAACATATGGAAGGCCCTGAGTTCCATCATTTGTACAGGAAAAAGTAACAAGAGACCTGATATTCTAGAACTTGGAAAGCAAAGGTAGGTAGATCAGGAATTGGAGACCAGCCTGGGTTATGTAGTCAGTTCCTGGAAAATTTGAAATGTAGAATGGAAAAAACAGTTAGTTGGACCTAATGACTCAAAACTACAGACCCAGGGTTTGGGACTTTGAGGCAGTAATATTTTGCTGTAAGTTCCAAAGCAATCTGGGCTACAGATTGAGAACCTAAAAACCAAAAAATGATTAAAATTTAAAAAAAGATAAAGTTGGCCTGGTGGTTCAGGTATCACAAGTACTTCCATGTAACATAAAGTAAGTTCAAGGCAAGTCTAAGTAACTGTCACAAGTAAAAATAAAAGCAGTAATAGAAGAGTGCTTTGCTTAACATACAGTGAGACTTGTGTTTGATTCCCACAAATATGATGATGTTGATAAATAGAAGTATGGTGGTGCATTTCCAAAATTCTAACATCCAGAGGCAAAGACAAGCAGATCAGGATGTCAAAGCCATCCCTGATATGAAATATTATTTTAACTAGGCAAAGGTGTGTTACATTTGTTTATGCTGCGTTTGTTTAGTGATATGAGGATGTGTTAAACACATTATGTAAATTGTGTAAAGATGTGTAGCTGTTTCACCTTGCCTGCCTAAGGCACTTGATTGGTTTAATAAAAAGCTGAACAGCTAATAGCTAGGCAGGAGAAAGGATAGGCGGGGCTATCAGGCAGAGAGAATAAAGAAGAAGAATCTAGGCTTGAACCCTCCAGGGCCAGAAGCCAGGCAACCATGAGCCAGACAGACTTGAGAAGCAGTGAAAGTATGATATGCAGAAGGAAAGAAAAGGAAAGGCCCTGATGCAAAACACAGGTAAAGAGAGATAGGTTAATTTAAATTTAAAAAGCTACCCTGGGGGGCAGTGGTAGCACAGGCCTTTAATCCCTGCACTCGGGAGGCAGAGGCAGGTGGATTTCTGTGAGTTCAAGGCCAGCCTGATCTACAAAGCCTGTTCAAGGACAGCCAGGACTATTAACACAGAAAAACTCTGTCTTGGGTGGGAGGTAGGGAGACACAATAACAAAAACCTGCCCCCACCCCCGAAAAAGCTAGCCAGAAACAAGCCTGAACTAGGCTGAACATTTAAAGATAATAAAAAGTCTCTGTGTCATGATTTGGGAGCTGTTTGGTGGGTTGGTGGCCCTAAAAGAAACAGCTTCCTTACTCATCCTCAGCTACAAAGTCAGGCTAGTGCCAGTCTAGGCTCTGAGACTCTATCTCAAAACGAAACAACAAATTACAGAGTTCAAGTCCTCCTCCTCCTCCATCCCTGACACCATTCCTCTTTTTTTTCTCCAAGTTTCTTCTATCCTGAATTTAATTACCAGTCTTTTGCATGTTTTATATTTTGATTCCACATGTTTGTCCACAAGTAATATGTAGCATCATTTGAGGCAGCAGCTCACTATGTAGCCCAGGGTGGTCTGGCACTCACTCACTATGTAGCCCAGGCTAGCCTCAACTTCACCTTGTAGCCAAGACTGACTTTAAACCTCTGATTCTCCTACCTCCACCTCCCAAGTGCTGTAATTACAAATGTGTCACCTGGCTTAAGATTTCTGATTGTATGTTTAGGATAGGTAATCTCACTGTCAATTCCATGAGGTCTAGCAACACTGGACACAAGTCTGTGGGCAAAGCCTGTAGGGGATTATCTCGATTAGATTTAACTGAGGTGGGTACAGATGGACAGATTATGCCCTGAGCTGGCATCCTAAACAGTATAAAAAGGAGGAAATACCCTGAGCGCAGAACTCATTACCACCTTCTCTCTTCCTCCTTTGCTCTTGTTTTCTGACAATTCTCTCTTTAGTGTTAGGTAGGGAGTTGTGCATACTGTGCTGGAGGGAACAGAAGAGAATCCACAGGAGTTGGTTCTTTCCTCCCACCATGTGGTACCGGGAATTGATCTCAGGTCTTAACAGAGCTAGTCCTGGAACTAGCTCTTGTAGACCAGGCTGGCCTCACAGAGATCAGCCTGTCTCTGCCTCCAGAGTGCTGGGATTAAAGGCGTGCAACACCACCACCCATTTTAACTCTTACGTCTTAAATTAACCCATTTCTATTCATCTGTGTATCAACCACAAGGCTGTGGCTTACCAATAAGGTTCCTGCAGGCATCTTTCTCCTTTGGCAGCTACATGGCGTCTCCTTTACTCCGTCTACTCTCTCTATATATCTCTGTTCGGATTTCCCACCTGATTTTATTCTGCTCTGTTATAGGCTGAAGCAGGTTCTTTATTAACCAATGGTAATAAAACATATTCATAGCATACAGAAGGGAATTCCACATCATCCTTTGGGTATATATGCAACAGTGATATTACTGGGTCTTGAGGTAGATTGTTTAATTTTCTGAGAAATTGCCATATCGGCGAATCAATCCCACACCAGTTATGTTTTAAGGGGTTATTTATTTTGGGGGGTAAAACTTACATACACCATAAACCGTCAGGAAGGGAGCCTAGTACCTGGAGCAGGAGCCGGGAGCAGGAGCCAGGAGCAGGAGCCGGCAGTAGGAGCTGGGACCAAGCACCAGAACCAAGAGAGCCTGATCCGGATCTGCTTCTCTTTTTAAAAGAGAAATATGCCACGCCCCAGTGGGCTGGTATTTCAGCAGCTATTGGCTGACGGAGCGGAAGTCGCTCCCTGCTGCACTGTGGGCTCGTATTTCAGCAACTATTGGTTGAGGCAGCGGAAGTTACTCCCACAACACCGCCACACTGATTTCCAAAGTCTCTGCACAAGTTTGCGTTTTCACCAGTAATGGAGGAGTGTTCTCCTTACTTCACATCATCTCCAGCTCTCCAGCATAAACTGTCATCAATGTTTTTGATCTTGGCCATTCTGACAGGGGAAGATGGAATCTCAGAGTTGTTTTGATTTGCATTTCTCTGATGGCCAAGGATGTTGATTAATTC